ATTCGAAAGACCAAAAACGCCGAAGCGATATCTGTGAGACCAAACACTACTCTAAAGTTACATCTGGTTGACAAAATACTGGTCCCAAGTGGCATTTGACAGAAAATTACCATCCGAGCGCAACATCTTACAGCCAAACGCAAACCAAGAATGACATCTCATAGACACCAACACAGAGCAACATCTGACAGTTCAAACACATACACGGGGCGGCATCTTAAAAACTAGGGACCAATCAGTAGAAAAACGTAACACCCAAGTACCGAATCGTAGCGACATCTGACAGACCAAAACACTAACCCAGCACGATATCTGATCGACCAAACACCGACCAGGAACGACATCTGACAGAGTGTCATCCGATAGACCAAAATACTTGCCTGGAACCTGGAATACATCTGACAGACCACACACAAACTCAAAACGACTTTGACAAACCAAACACTGACCAGGAGCGTCATACGGCAGGCCAAACAACCTCTCGAAAGTGGTATCTTACAGACCCAAGACCGACCATGAGTGACACCCTAGAGATCAATAGCCTACCTGGAGCGAAATCTTACAGACCAATGACCGACCATTAGCGACATCCGGCAGACCAAACACGGACCCGGAATAACATCTTATATACAAATCACCAACCCAGAGCAACAGCATACTTTGCAGATGTTGCTGACGGCAGAGGGAGCAGGAAGGGCCAACATGCGGATCTCTCGCTGGGCGAGCCGATTGCTGGTGTGCGACTTCACGGCGCGGTTTCTGATGGGCAACAGCAGTGCTGTGGACGGCCTCTCCAGACTACCCACAGCAATATATCTTACCGCGGATGATGGGCAGCTGAGTGCAGCGGCAGTCATCGACCACATGGAGCGGAAGGTGGCGGTGGACCGGACGGAGCTCAAGAGGGCGGTCGAGCAGAATCCAGTGCTGCAGGGGCTACAGATGCAGATCTCTGATAGGTGGCCGACTCGTTACCGAGACTGTCCTGCTGTTGCAGCCGTACTGCCGCTGTCGAGTGGAACTGCTGGTGGTTGACGACGTGATCCTGAAGGGGCAGATGTTGGTGTTTCAGACGTATTAAAGAGACGGCCCATCGAAGCGGCACGCGATGGACACCAAGTATGATGCGGACAAGGCGGAGAATGAGGGAACTGTATTGGTGGTCGAGAATGAACTCAGAGTTGGAAGAGCACGGGAAGCTCTATGAGGCATTTGCTATGTCTGACTATATCCGCTCCGCTATCGCACGCAACGTTCCGCTCACACCAGTACCGCTTCCAGGAGCTAGCTGGTCTATCGTGGGAATCGACTTCATAGGGCCGTTGGAGAACGGTGTAGCGCAAAGACGTTTTGTGATTGTGATGGCCAGCGACTGCGATGGCCAGTTTTGCGACTGCGATCGGGTTTTTGTTCGCCTCCCTCCTCACAGGCTGTCATGGAGTACTTGGAGACCATGGCCAGCCGGGAAGGCTACGTGGAGGAGTTGGTGTCTCATAACGGGAGACTTCACTTTACAAGAATATCGAGATTACCTGATGCGCGTAGAGGCAAAGCCGATGGTGTGGGATGATATTTCAAGCCTCATTTCGCTGTCCAGGGGCCCTATGCCGTTTCCGGGGATCTCTATACTCACTTGCAGAGTCCTTCTGATCGTTAAGCAGCCTTCCACTTTGCCCCCGATTTTAAGTATTTTCTCGGAGGGCCCTGCGCTGTTGCCGGGCCCTTTCTGCCAGCGTGACAAGACGCTCTTGTCAATCAGGGGCATTCCACAGATCCTTTCCGCTCGCCAGAAAGGCTCTGTACGCTATTTATAGGGCCCCATATGTAACCTGCCGGCGTAAACTCGGTTGCTCAGGAGCCCTTTCTGTCGGTCTCGGTTAACCTATCGACACACGATATGCTCATGGGCCTTCTACATTAGTCTAGAGCGCATCTACTTCTCCGCCACTTGCTTAGGTCCCTTTACTCTTGTCGGGCGCCCATCTGTTAATCTCCTTGGGCACATTGGCTCTCTGCACTGGGTTTTGGGTACTTCTTATTTGAATGGAGGGCCCTACGCTCTGGACGGGGGCCCTACCTGTTAACATGCTCTGGCGCACCCGATCATTCGGGGACGCTCTGTAGCGTGCCGTCGGTATTTCACATTTGGAAGGAAGGCCCTACTCTCTTGTCGAGGGCTCCACCCGTTAACCCACTTGGGCACACTCGATTGTTCGGGGGCCTCCACATTGTGTCTTGGGTGCTTCCTATTTGAGTGGAGGACCTTACGTACTTGTCGGGGCCTCCTCTGTTCACTTCTTCGGTTACACTGGATTGTTCAGGGGCCTTGTACATTAGCTCTTGGTGTTTCAATTTAGGGCCCTACGCTCCTGTCGGGGGCCATCTGACAAGCTGCCCAGGCGCACTCCATCCTTCGGGGGTCCTCCGCACTGGGTTTTGAGTACCTTTTATTTGAATTAAGGGCCTTACGCTCTCGTCGAGCCCCTTCTGATAGGCCGGTTGTGCACATTCAGTCGTTTGGGGGCATTTACATTGTGTTTTGGGTGCTTCCTATATGAATGGAGGGCCCCACCTCTTGAGTGGGGCCCTATCTGGTAATTTACCTTGGTGCACTCGATCATTCGGGCCCTCTATATTGTGTAGTGGATAGTTCAAATTTTGAACGGAAGGCCCTACACTCTTGATGGGAGCCCTATCTGTTAACCTGATCTGGTGCATTCGCTCATTCTGGGTCCCTCCATATCGTCTTGAGTGCTTCTTGCTTGAATGGATGGCCCTATGTTCTTGGCGGGCCTCATCTACTAAGCTGCTCGGGCCATTGGCGGCGACAGGGGGAGGGGGGGGGGGGGAGCACCGGAGCATGTCCCATGGACCATGCAGAGGGAACTAATAGGCTTGGAACTGGCGAATAAGCGGCTGGACAAACGCAGTTTGCTAGTTTTAAAAAAATGCAATAAAATTGGACGTATTTGGGGCTAAAGGCGACATAGAACGGTTGCAAACGAAAGTAAAGCGTTTATAAGCGACCAAATTTAAATCTTTACTGATTGAAAGGGCGGTACTTAACGGAAATGGTGGGACTCATTATGCTTTCCAGAGGCCTTACGCTGTTGCCCGGGCCGTGCATGTCGTCTTGCCCGGTCAATCTGATCGCCGAGGAACCCTTCACGTTACCCTTCATCTCTTAACGTTTTTTTCCGTTTTTGCGCATGACCTCAACGCTGCTGTTGAGACACTATATGCTTCCATACCTGGACACTATCTGCTTGCATGTCTGGACACTCTTGATCAATCAGCGGCCCTCCATCGATTCTGCTCTTTCGCCCGAAAGGCTCTATGCGCTTTTTCTGGGGAGCCATATGTAAGCGTACACTTAGCTGCTGAGGAGCCCTTTATATTAGAATTGGGGTTTTCCACTTCCTCGGAGGACCTTGTGCTGTTGTTGGGGCTTGTAAAAGGTAACGCACCGAGACACTTGATGCTCAGGACTCCTCTTCTTTGATCGAGGACTCCCCCCCCTTTGATCTTATTTGCGGAGGATTGTTCACTTCTATCAGGCTATTTTTGAAACCTTTCCGGGCACTTTTGATAGCACAGGGGAATCAAGTCATGGTCTTGCATAATTCCCGTTTGCTCAGAGGGTCCTGTGCTCTGGCCGCGGCCTTATATGTCAGCCTGTCGGGGCACTATCGATCGTTTAAGGGCCCACCACGTTGGTCTTAGGTTCTTTTCACTTGCCCCGAGGACCCTATACCTGTTGTTGGGAGCCTCTTTGTTGGCCTCGCCGGACACCCATGATCGGTCAGGTTCCACCTCCATTAGCCTTGGTGCCATAGCCTTAGAGTAGCAGTTGTATATGCGCCGGTGAATTGTTACGAGCAATTGTCGAAGGTAATTTTACATGCCTCCGACGTCGCATGTGTCATTTCCCCTGACGATTGAACGTGTTACACTTATCAAACTCGTGCATCATGTTCTTAACATATTTTGGGGTGATAGAATACTTTGTTCTCGTTTATAACAAAATAAAAAATATACTTTAGTCATCAGTCAGCAGCTAGTTACATCGCCTAGCCCGCTGGCCGTAAACAAGCTAGGGGTCGAGTCCGTGCTTGGTTTTAAGGGTACTTAGCAGCCGGCTTGAGTTTATTTTCCCTTTTTCCGAAACACTTGGTACAAAGTCACAGGATTTAACGTGATCTGGAGGAAGTCAATGAGCTCCATGTATTTGGATGCAGAACATGCCACCCTTTAGCACAGTAAGATGGGTTCCTATATTTGATATACATCTACATACATATATATATATATATATATATATATATATATATATATATATATATACATATATATATATATATATACATATATATATATATATATATATATATATATATATATATATATATATATATATATATTTCTCCGTCATCTCTCCGTCATCTCCGTCTCCGTCATCTCTCGGACAGCAAATAATAAAAAAAAATCGCAGCCGTGCAAGGCTGTGGAGACCGGAGACGGAGAAAGACGGAGAGATGACGACGGCGAGATGACGGAGACGGAGATGACGGAGAGATGACGGAGAAAACGCGCGTGAAACAACCCATGTCGAACGCGATCTCCACCTTGCCTCACGCTCTTATCTTTGATCCCCTGACCTGATCGAATTCGTATCATCATATTCGGCTTTAGCGCTGCAGATCACACCATACAACACTTTTGAGCAAAATTTGTGGTTTGATATTGTAGGAACTTTGGTCACAGGTGGGTCAATTTCACAGAAAGTTGCCAGGCAGCCAGAGTAGTTCTCCATATACGTCACATCAGGGATGCAGAGCACCAATAATCCAAACACTAAAACGAAGCGCCTGGTGGCGTCCTGTATTTTAGGTCCTTGGCCGTAGCCGGATTGGGCCGTTTCTCGCGTTTCTCGGTTGTTGTTGAGTGATGGGTGGGTGTGATGGGGTGGGCAGCAGAGATGTGCTGCGTATTGACATTGCCTGGCCATTGGTTCATCGATTTTTGCACGGGTTCCCTGGTTGATGGTTTCAGATGTTTGAAAGATCTCCAAAGACAGCGTTTTAATCCTTTTGAAAGGTATTGTGGATGCATGAAGTATTTAGGGCACGGCCATCTCACCATTTGCTGCGCTTAGGCGCGAATGTATTTTCTAGTCAAGATTTTCTGCCTGCTCTTAATACATGAAAGTACTTAATTTCTAAGTCAACGTTTAGTTTTTAGGTGCATTTGTGAGGAATATCATGCATATAAACAAGATGGTACCAGTAACCTTACTCCTTGTAGGATATCCAGGAAAATGGGAAGATAGGATGTGTTTGTATGCACCCATTCAATAATGTATCTTCCCATTATCAAATTTTCTATTTGGCAAGTAGGTATGCTAGCAGTCTGAGTAACAAATTTAAACTCTTGTGTGTCTAATCCTTTTACCAATTAACCAACAGTCACAGCATGCCACCCAATGGCAAGTCGTGGACAAGCATGACGATGATATACGTTTTACTCATTTTGGTCACACCTAGCCCCAATGTTTTATGTGGAGTAGTCATATTTGATTAAATTGTGAAGGCCCCCTTCGTAATTAGGAATGTCATATGACTGCCTATTATCAGTGTGCTCGTCTTTGAAACATGATCGCTTCCTGCTCCATCTATGATGAATGGCTGTTAAGGACATCAAGGTTTGTGCAGTTTTAAAACTTGCTTTTCTGAATGTGGATTAGCTGTGTGTTGTGGTGGGGCTCAGGTGTCAGGTAACATTTCAAGGTCTCAAAACAGGATCAGGTCTTGCGAGGTGTAGAAGACCGCCAATTACTCCTTTGTTCTTGAAAATATAATTGTTGTATGGAATGCTTAAAAATTAAATGCACTTGTATTATGCACATCTGCTAATTTTTGTGCCTGGAATGGTGAAGTTTGCATGGAGTATAACATGCTGGGAGTCAGTGGTGTTATCTCATTTTGCATGGCGATGTCTTATATAAATGATAACCACTAAGCAGGATGTGCAATGTGTGTGTGTGTGTGTGGAAGTATTGCTAGGATTCTGCTAGTTAATTAGCATTTATCCACTCAAGTGGCAGGGATGTCAATATTATTTCATGGTTATACACCCTGGCTGATGATTCTCTGCCTGTTGGTCCTCCTGTTGCTAAAAATCAACCAATCAGCACCAGACTCCTGTTGGATGAAGGTTATCCTAGCACTGTGGGGTCTCAGACTTGCTGAATGTACTGTGCAGGTCAGATGTTCAGGTTCAGAGTCAGAGGGGCAACTCATTAGCAGCCAGAAAAGTATTGTACATGCAGAGGCAGTTTAGGGGCCAGAATTTATGTGGTCTGTGGTATATTTACATTAACATTAGAAGTAACATAAGTGACATGTGCTGAAACTAATTGTGCTTTTGTTATATACATTTTGAATAGTTTTCATGATAGTCACACTTTGACACACCAATGTAACTACATGTATAGGATCACAGGATCAAATCAGAATTGAGGGCAGTTAAACAGGAATTTTGGAAACTACCTTACCTAAATGTTGACTTTTGTACAAAACATGCCTTGTGATCATGTCAATGGATTGAACAAAATTTGGGAAATTGGGGTATGTTCCCTCAGGCACCTCCCAAGCTGTTCCAGCCACTGATTTGATAGGACATACCTGTGGGGCAGAGCTTGTTACATTAATCATTCACTCATTACTGAGTTCTGAGGTTCATTCCTTTCTGCAGATGATTCTTGAATTTTGGGGTGAGGCATTGTGCTTAAGCTTCAGGCTATTTTGGGGGTGAAGAGTACATTCTTTTATTTTGATCATAGTTGATTGCCTAGAATTTGTTCATAACTGAATACTAACATCAGTTTGTATGTCCAGACAATTCTGGGATGTGGGATAAGTGCTTTCATTTGCATTGTGGGTAATTGTCCAGAATTGTGGTGCCTTTTTTCCAACACTGGACCTGTGGATGGATCCAAAGGATTAGAGCAACTGGGCTGTGACCCCCACAATGGCCAAAGCCTGGAGAAATGTGGCATGCTGTGGACTTGACAGGAAATTGAAGCAACTTTTATGGTGGGAAGTTTGTTTGGAAACACTCCTTGGGGTAACAGAAAGCAAAGTCTACAATTATTAAAGATAGGGTCACCTTTTTGGATTCCTCCCAGGATGGTATTCTGAATTCAAATAAAGATGTAAAAAGAGTCAATAGAGTATGCGATGACCCTGTATGTGTTTAAATAAACAATGGTATATCACCAGGTCCAATCCTTGCAGCTGGACAACATCAATAGATTGGTCCCATCTGACTCTGACTGCAGACCCAGTTTTTCCAGATTCTTCTCTGACATGTCAGCTAGCTCATGCAAATTGTTTGTTTTTGTGAAACTATGCCATAGCTTCTCCTGGCTTGTGTGAGGAGTATGGCCTCTCCATCACTAACTTGCTAGGTTATATGTATTTTTATAGGCCTAGTTTTATCTACCTGTGACCAAGATGACCTCAGTAAATAGTGGCTGACTGCTTTCATCATACATGGCATGGGAGTATATAATACATTTAACAGCAAAGCAAACAAACCTCTTGCTCTCCAGTGTCCATATCATCTTGCGTTAAAGAGGTATCTAACCAGTGTCTTCATTTTCAATGGAGGTTCCACTGACTGCTTAAATTGTTCAGTGGAAACCCATGGCTAGGACAAAAGACTGGGGGGAAGGAATCTTGTGTTTCAGCTTTGTTAATTATGTATTGCATTGCCGATGAGAAAAATAGCATCAAGCTTGCTAAGCCTCTCCCCCTATTATCTTCTGAACCAGGTGTTGGTAACAATTACAAGGTTGATGCGATTTCGTTGTTCAAAACGTCATCCTCGTGGTCCCGGTGACTTCCGGCTCGATGCGTATGAAGACGGTGTCGTTGTGCGGCAGCGCTCGTCATAATTTGTCGTTTTCTTTGAGGTTTGCCTTCTCGCCACACAGGTGGCGAGTTTTTTTTGCCGTCTAAACTGGGGCTGGCCCTCCAAAAGGCTAATGGTCACCGCCGTGTGCGAGTGGATTGGTGATAGTCATATTTTGACGTGCAGTAAAGATTCGATACGCGCATGAATTCAGAAAAATGCTCGGAGGTACGATGGGTTGTTTGTGTACCGTCATGTGTCATATCTTTATCCGGCAACGTAAATGGTAACTGAACATGGCGTTTTAGCGCACAGATGACGTACGTGCAGTACACCGCATTTTGTTGGCAAACAGGTATCCCTGCCGCCGCAGGTCGGTGCTTGACTTGGCCTGTGGTTAGAGCGCCAGGATAAAGATCGCCGTAGATGAAATGATCAGGATAAAATTGCGAGATGTTTGGCATTAGCGCCATTGATAAGTGTCTTTATCGGTCGATACGGTGATTCGATAAGATTGTGAAAGGATACGTCAACAGTGGTGGCGGAGGGAGGAGTGTGTTCGCATGGGCAGTGTGTGGCTCTTTGACAACCCCCTTGAGACGCTGCGAACATATCTTAGTATAGCACAAAAAAATAAAACGCCATGAAATGCCTCTATTTGGCAAATGATGACTGAAGACTTAACAGGGTAAGACTAAGTGTATTGCAAAGCTCGAATATGCCCTGCCCAAAGCAATGGGCATGTATTATTTGTGCTGCTATGCTTGTTCGTGTCGGACCTTACATGCACCTTTCCCTTGCAGTGGTCGTACACTGGAGAAGATCGAAAGATTTTGGTAACGATATTACCGTGCACTGTTCCATAAGAAAACGTGAAGCACTCAAAGAAGCTGATGAATGTGCGTGTTGATATGTGAACGTTATGCATTCGGATATCCGTCTGTGTAGTACAGAAGTAACGTGACACGATGGAAATGGATCGACCAACGGTGGAGAACTGGCTCAGAACGCTCTTTCTGGGCCAGTACTCGGAATCATTTCTGGACAATGGATACGACGAACTGGAAATATGCAAACAAATCGGGGAACAAGACCTTGATGCAGTTGGTGTGTTCAATCCGACACATAGGTTCAAAATCCTTGAAGCCGTCAGAAAGTTACGCGAAGAAGGGGCAACTGCAGTTTATTTTACCGTGGAAGAAGTCTTGAAGTCTGGTGAATGCAAATGTGTCGTCGAGAAAAACAGGAGAATGCCCACATACCATGCATCAAAGTACATCCCTCAGAAGATATGTCACTCCTGCGCTACAAATTCCGAGAGCATCAGTACGTGTGGCAGCCCGCCAGAACCAAAGGCGCCTCTGCCCGAACTGAAGAGACTGCCATCTCAGAAACTGAGACAAATGCTTCAAAACAAGCTGGTGATTGACGGCATAAAGCTGTACAACTCGCCGTACTCGACAAAGGTATGTGCCAGCCAGTCAAATTCATTATAGAATTTGCGTGTCGTTTTTTCTCGTGTCATGTGTTCCATGAAACATCCCTCTTTAGCGATAATGGTTATGAAGTGCTCCCGCTTTACACACATGCTTATTGAGTGCCTGTGTGTGCATGGTTTGTACACATGTGCATCACTTGTGTTTGTGTCGAAATCGTGCTCTCTCTCTCTATATCACATCGTTCAACGTTATAATGGTGTATACCACTGACCCCTGGCTGTCGAATGGGGAGAAGCGCCCGCCAGTGAGTGGCCCCGGCGGCGGCTAAACTGCCAGCAGTCCGCCCCCCGAGTCGGAGTGTGTTACGCGCTCGTGACGCGCTGACCCTGGCGCCCGTGTCCGCCAGGACGGCCAGACCGGCTATCTGAACGGGCTGGCGTCGCGCTACGCCGACGACGTGCAGACGCACTACCAGGACGTGCTGCAGCAGCTGGACGTGCTGCGCCAGCAGGCGTGGCAGCAGGTGTTGGACGGCGAGGTGCGCGGCGGCGCGGGCGCGCCCCCGCTGATGGCGCCTCCGCCGCCGCCGCCGCCGCCCCAGCAGCAGCAGCAGCCCGACCTGACGCAGTCGGCGCAGCCCATCTACCAGCCGGGCCAGTACCTGGTGAGTGGTGTCGGGCCGCGGCCGTCGCCTCGGGGGCCGCTCGCCGGCTGACGGGCAGTCAGCGGCCATCGAGATAGGCCTGCCCGGCTCGGGGTTAGCATGGGCCTGCTGGGCTCGAGGTCAGGATGGGTCTGCCGGTCTCGGGGTCAGGATGGGCCTGCTGGGCTCGGGGTCGGGATGGGTCTGCCGGTCTCGGGGTCGGGATGGGTCTGCCGGTCTGGGGGTCAGGGTGGGCCTGCTGTGCTCGAGGTCAGGATGGGTCTGCCGGTCTCGGGGTCAGGATGGGTCTGCCGTGCTCGGGGTCGGGTGGGCCTGCTGAGCGAGGGGTCATTATCAAGATTTTGCAAGTGCAGGAATTCCGTGGACGTCCTAAAGTGAAGCTTCTCATCAAGAAGCTTCAAGAGAGGCGAAATCAAGAGATCAAGAGGGGCGAAAAGCTGCTTATGCGCGGATTTTCACCATTTTGTTTTCGATTTGCTAGACACTGCCCCGTGACTGTGGTCCGTTTTGGTAAACTGTCATACACTGTCGGGGTACACGTTTGGCTTTTGACATGACTGGAATGCAATGCAGGCTGACTGTTATTCAATGCAATATTTCATTTGGTACGGGTCATTGGGGGAAATCACAGCCGATGGGAAGGTCATCAGAACAAAGTCTCGGGCCAGGCCCTTGTAAGCAGGTACTGTAGACGCTTAAGGTTATGGCATGGAATTTTATTGATTCATCTCTGTTACAAATCAGTTCATTAACTCACTCATTCTTGCATGCATTTTTTATTCGTTCTCTCGCTCATTCATCCACAACTGTTACCTTTCTTCCTTTTCTGCAAAGCGTTTAGTGCAAGCTTGTTTTAGCATGCGTGATAAAAACTACCATAAACCCTCTATAACCTTATATTCGTTACACAGATCAGGTAGTGTGCCATGGTTTGTGGCTGCTGGCGCCGGTGATGCTCCCCATCGCTTCGTAGGGGATCTCTTCGAGTGTAGCGCACCGGGGAAAAATACGTTGTGGGTTATATGGATGTGCATGTCTGTTGCGCGACATCTGAGTGTGACAGCCGGGTCCCCGTTCCAGCCGTCCAGCTGTCTGAGCGACAACGACGAAGACGAAATATACGGCTTCGGCTACGGCGTGTACGACAGCCGGGTGCTGAGCCAGCAGCACGCGCGCCGACAGGGGTTAGTGCCTGAGCCGGGCACAGCCGAGCTTGGCTCCGAGTCGGAGCAAGACGCAGCGATAAATGCGCCCTGTACAACACGCAATCATAAGATGCTCATTGCGCCTCCGTAAGACGAACGTTTATGAGACTGACAAACGCACATATTAGCACGCGATGAAAGTCATTGCTTTGAGGCTTTGAATCTGGTCACACTGCTTCTGAAAGTGATAAAAAATCAGCATGTAGGTCAGCTTCCAAGGCGCCGCATTATAAAAAGTGTTTATCAGCTGTCGTGACCTACAGAACTATCCGGATATCACGATGTTTTCCCTTGTGCTGGGAACCTCCAGCAGTCTTTGTGTGCGGGCCATTCGAGCGGACATGTGCAGGAAAAAGCAGCCCGGTAAGATGCCGGAGTCTAATTTTGCTTGAAAACCGTTCCAAATGAAAAGGGCATGCTGCGGTCACTGTAACGCTAAAGAAGGAATCCGGATCGGCGCAAGATATTTGGACACAAAAGGGTGTTTTAGTGACTAACAAACATGATGAAGTGAAGCAGACGAATAAACGGCACAAAGTTGCAGTAGAGATCCTCTTCAATGAGAAAATCATTCAGTAATGTACAGCCTGTATTTGGAACAAGAGACGGAGTACGGGAATAGAAAAGTATAAGGGAATGGTCACGCGACAGATGGTGCGATGCGAGGACAGTCGTGGCTGACGAGCAGCGTTTAGCGCGTCCGACCGCCCCGTCTATTACCAGAGGCCTCAGTGCGCATGCGCTTGTGTGCCGACAGGCTGCGCTCCGGCTCTCCCTCCTACGCCGTGCCCCAGGACTGCGCTGCAGGTGAGATGGCGCCACCGGCCGAGCCCAGCGGGCTGACGGGCTGTCATCCAGGCTGCTCACGCCGCCGCGGGCCCGCTCGTGCCGGCGGCGGTTTGATGTGAGTATTAGATTGTTGTTGTAACAAGCGGAGAGTGACCGCATTACCGGGGCCGGAGGCGGGCGTGTATGTTTTTTTGTGTAACAAGCGGAGAGAGGGTGGCCGCATTACCGGGGCCGGAGGCGGGTGGGGGATGACAGCGGCGCTAGTTTAGGCATGGTATCTCCCATGTGTTGCCAGCAATGCGCATTTTGCGATATGGTGCATGCTGTGGCGCGGTTTTCTCAGTCACCTCGGCGGACTAGCCCCTGCGTGTGCGCGGTCAGCTGGCGTCACAGTGTGCCGCTGCTCGCCCTGCCGCCGAACCCGCAATGTCACGCCGTTTCGTGACTTGCCTGTCTGTGTAGGGGCGCTGCGCCCCCGGGGTCCTACTGACCGTGCCGGCTGTGTAGGGACCCTGCGTCCCGGGACTCTGCCGACCGTGCCGGTTGTGTAGGGGTGCTGCGTGCCGGAGCCCTGCTGACCGTGCCGGTTGTGTAGGGGCGCTGCGTGCTGGAGCCCTGCTGACCGTGCCGGTTGTGTAGGGGTGCTGCGTGCCGGAGCCCTGCTGACCGTGCCGGTTGTGGGGGGTGCTGCGTGCCGGAGCCCTGCTGACCGCGCCGGCTGTGTAGGGGTGCTGCGTGCCGGCCCCTGCCGACCGTGCCGGTTGTAGGGGTGCTGCGTGCCGGCCCCTGCTGACCGTGCCGGCTGTGTAGGGGTGCTGCGTGCCGGCCCCTGCTGACCGTGCCGGCTGTGTAGGGGTGCTGCGTGCCGGCCCCTGCTGACCGTGCCGG